TACAATGGTCATTATTCTTTTCCAACCTACACACAACAACATGAGCAACAACCTTACCCAGTCCACAAGTGGCATTCTGTCCATGGTAATGACCTGCCACAATGCAGCTGAGCTTGCCAAGTGGATGGTTAAGGAACTGGAGTGGAAGAAGTGGAAGGAGAGTGACCTCAAGAAGAAGAGCCTTGGTGAACTTCAAAACATGTGCATGGTACATCAATAGCACAGTTTGTTTAATGAAAGTAGTGTGATTTAATGGAATCATGTGTCTTCTGCTTCAGAATTACTTTGCAAGTGTGGCAGAGGTGGAGAAGAACAAGGCAAAACTGACTGAATTGGTATGCACTATCCCATTGTGTACACATATGTGATGAAATCTTATTAGCATTTATAGACACAATTTCATCACATACATGTACACAATGAAATATCATTTTAAATATACAATACAACTAATTTATGCCATCCTTTCATTTCGTGGTGTTGTCTCATCATAATAATAGTTGTTTCATTATACTCCATATTTCCATTCTATTCAACAATATTGACTCTTATAATCAATTATAACCACCATTTTTATATGCATACACAATAGAACAACTGATATATTCTCATCAATGAAGCTCATTCTTGACTCTCAGCAGACCATACCTGAGACTCAAGAGCAAGAAGCCGAAAAAAATAGCACCACTGGAGCCAGCTCCACCACAGAGATGTCACAAGATTTGCTTGGAGCACCTGAGGTAAGTGTGTTTGATTTCAAATGAAATGTAGTCCTTTATAAATCTCACTAATCCTGTACTTTCTTCAGGTTGATGTGACAGCCTAAACAAGACCTGCCAGTGAGGAGCAAGTAACCCTGCCAACTGCCATGGTGACTGATGAGGAGCTGTTGAAGCTCCTGAAGGAGGTATGCTTTTCATGCTGTTTGTGAAGCCAATTATGCACCACAACATCAAAATCAAAGACATTATCCAAGAGTTGCCAAGATTTGGAAATGGTGGCTCTTCTCAACCTCCTTGCTGATGAGAATAGCCCCTGGCAGCTTCTGTGTCTCATCTCAGGGAGCATCCCCAACATCTGCTCCAAGAGTGCTGGTGGGGTCCAACACAATGGTACATTGCATTGCATACACATACATGATGACTTATTGCTCTTCATTACCCCTTCCACAGCTTACTCCTTTTTAGAAATATGCTGACAACTCATTGTGTACATGTACATGATACTCATGCAGGCCTCTACACCATCTTCATCAGTCAAGCAAACAAGTCCTATACCTTCAATCCAGAGTCGCTGCTGGTCCAGGACATCACCAAGATTCCCAAGCTCATGGCCTACAAGAAGCCCTCCCTCATCAAGAGGTGGAACCCAAAGTGGGTCCACATTGCTCCTCAAGTGCATCAACTGAGTATGTATTTTGCTCATGTAACTTGGAGGCACATGCTCTTCTCACCTGCTTTCCTACCAACAATAGGTCATGTCTTCTATCAGCTTGTCCTCACTGCCTACGCCTCAAGCACTGAACCACAAAGCATTCTCAACTACACTCCACTTTGTGCTACTCCACTTCATGCCTGCTTCCATCTCAACTTCAGCTACCACATCAATGGAGCTTTGGTGCAACTGAATGAAACTGAGACCAACATCATTGCAAGTGCTATTGACAGCATCCTCATTCACTCCAACCCATCCAACATCACATCCTGGACTACAGCAGCCCAGACAGTGGTGCATCAACTCACCTCATCCAGTACCTCCACTTCTTCTCAACCTTCACCCTGTTCTTCCATGGCATCAGCTCCTAGCACCCCTACACAGGTTTTCATTCACCCATGCCCTTTTTTTGTTGTGTACATGTACATGATGAAATATATCACTGACTCTCAAAATCAACAGCAGTCCCAGCTCTCCACAACCCCTCACTCAGAACCATTGCACAAGAGAAAGCATTGAGATCATGAGGATACTGACACCCACACCCACAGACACAGCAGTGCCCACAACCACCACAAGCACAGCCATGGATTGTGACACAAGCACCACAAGAGCAGGAGCCAGAGCAGGAGCTGGAGCAGGGACAGAAGCCACAACTCTGACATTGACCAATTGCCTGACCTTGGGTCACTTTCCCCTTTCCACTCTGGTTCTGATGTGGATAGGAGTGAATACTAAACTCTTTATTGAGCACAATAGATGCATCCAATTTTGTGATGTTATTGTTAAAATAAAACCATTTTTGTGTTATCAAAACCATTTTTATGAGCTTAAACTCACAAACAAAATCACTTTTCAAAATGACTGGACCTCTCATTTCAAATGACCACAAGTTTACTACTCATTTTCCCCACACTGACTGTGATTGGAAGATCATGTGTTTCTTCAGTGATTGGAAGATTGTGAGTGTGTCAGCAGCTGTTGGACCCATCCATGAGGGCATGCTTGCTGAGGCCACCAACTACGTCCACAACCTCATCAACCTGTTCACCTATATGTGTGTGCCCAATGGTGATGCCAACTACTACCTGGAGTGGTGGATAGCACATGTGTGCAAGGATCCTCAGTACTGCAGCTCTATGACCAATGATCTCAGCATCATTGTGTGCAGTGCCACTGGAGAATCAAAGGATGCTCCAAAGTTTGAGTACAGCCTCATGCTGGGCACCATCATCTACATATACTATGAGGGCTACATGGTCTCCATCACTGCCACCAAGAGCAAGATCAGTCCTGTGCCCATGGCAGGCATGAACCAGGGCGACTCCATTGATCATGAGCAAGGTGTTGCCCATGAATGATCTCACATTGCACATCATGTTGTGTGATTGTGGTCTGCTCATGTGCCTCCTTGAGGAGGCAATCAACATCATCACTGATGTCATGTGATTCCAGAAGCAGCAAGTGTGTTATGAGACCAACTCTGTGTGCTGGAAGTGTGGCTACCTGCTGCATGGACCACCTGGCACCAGCAAGATGATGCTCATCTGACTCCTGGCCAGCAACCTCAGCATGTATCTTGTGGTTGCACTGTTCAGTGGCACAAATGACATTTCATCACAAACCTGCCCCAGAATACCATACTGGCCATCAAAGACATCAACTGTGGCATCACCCTCGTCCCTGTTTGACATTGTTTTGGTGGTGTGGGTGTGTGAAAAGACAATGTGAAATGATATCATGCCCAACATTCATATTTATGTGATTATTAATTGCTGGCCAGAATATTCTTGAGCACAACAATGGCATTGCTGGGATCCAACTTGGAAGATTCCAGGTCAGATCTGGCCTCAGCTTCAAATTGTTTGGCCTCACACAGACAGTTGGTGACCACCTCAACAATGTGAATGGCTTGTAGCACTGGGCGTTGCTGAGCGCACAGGTCATGGTGATGTGCACCCCATTGAGGTGCACATAGGTCTGGTTGATGGTGCACAGTATGAATGATGCGCCAGTTCACTTGATATGCCAATCCTTGCGCTTGCTGGCATGTGGCTTATGGTCAAGTGTGGTGAGCTGCTTGTGGCCAGCACAATGATGGCCTTGGAATCGCCCACCCACACCCACCAGAGCATCATGCCACCTCCTTGCCACAAACACATGGTGGCTGTGCTGCCCAACCCATGATGGTGACAGTGTGGATTGGTGTTGAGCTGTTGTTGTGCCTGCCAGAAGGAAAGCATGATCTTACCATTGATCTTGTGCATCCAATCAGCATTGTTGAGATCAGTGTCATCGCCCAGGCTGTATGCAGTGCACTTGGGCAGGACCTTGCGCAGCGCCCATGAGGTGGCTTCACCACCATGTCCATCCAACACCCCCAAAGCAAAACTTTCTGGCAGTGTCCATTGGCCACATGCCACATGCACACAAACATCACATCCTCCATGTGCAATCACTGACCCTGTCACTGTTCAATGCTGATCTTGGCATGAATGTCACTGGTGGTGGTGGTTCACAGGGCATCAAACAGCGCACAAACATCAAAAGGCAGGGCAATCTCGGGCATTGGGAAATTGCAGTAGATGGTGTAGGCAGCCCACGTGCAGTGCTGGATGCACACCCACCAGTGCATGTATCCTCCCCATGGCTTGCACACCTTCTTGGTGGTCCAATCCTGGCCATCTCTGCCCCACACTGTCTTACTGACAGGATGCATTCACACTCACCTCCAGTGCTTTGTGGATGAGGCTGCATGGTTTCATGATTGGTGTCTGGACAGAAAATCCTACCTGGAGGGATGCAGTGATGTGATCCTTGTTTAAACAAACACATCATCAAACACATCATTGTGTATACACGCAACATGCTCCATCACTTCATTTTCATTGTATCTGGTGGCACAGGCCACCTCATCCCAGAAACTGCAGGTACCATTCCATGACTGGAAGAGTGTCAATGTCCACAGGATGAACTTGATGGCTTCTTCAGATTTGCAAAACTTGGCCAAGTGATTGAGAGCCTTGGGCATGTGTTGTTCAGCAATCATCCACTTGAGATCCATCATTAGATCCACATATGAGACATCAGCAATGACTGCATTATGACAATCTGAAAGTGAATCAAGGCAGGTCCCCATGAGGCAATCTCAATGATCCACGAGCGCCGTCTCAACATGTCCCACACCCCCTTTGCGCATGCAATCCAAGATCAAAGACAAGAGTGCTGGCATGCTGTCATCCCCCATGCTGCCAGAATAAATGACTTGGACTATGACCACCACATTTAAACGCGGATTGTGGCACGCGATCTTACATCGTGCATGGAGTGATGAACGCCACAGTCTTGTCGTCGTCGCCCAGTATGGCGTTGCAAGTCGCGTGCCCCATGAACTCATCCATTGGCACAACATCGGACAGGTAGGGCGGTGCTGGGATCCTTGCGCTTGATGCCCCAACACTGCCCGTCGTCGAACACAGCGTAGGGCACGATCTTGGCCAACCACCAGCTGCGTTCGCTGGCAGAGAACTTGTATTGGTGTTTGGTGTATCCGTAGGCGCGCTCGGCATCGGTGATGATGGTGGCGTCGTTCTGCTGCTGTGCCATTGTTGTTTATGGTGTGGCTGTGGCGAGGTATAAATCGATGCGACGTGAAGACGCGGGGGTATCTTTTTTCACCCTTCCATCCC